ACAACGTTTATTTCTGTTCTGTTCCAATGTCCTTGACGTGTGTGTATGTGCGTATCTGTGTGTGTGGGGTTCCGCTCGTGTCTGTTTATTATTAACTCGAATGACGACCCAAAAATTTGCTCATTTCCAGAGCTGTCAGTTTTTGGGGAGGCCTTCTAGACTGACTAGAAAAGGACATTCAGTCAGAAGGCCAAGGAGAAAGGAGTGACCAAATCCTGGCACCGACACTCAACTACAAATTGGCCTGCATAGCAGACATGTGCAGATGTCCTGCGACAGATTCACAGGCAATTATTCAGATGGGCTTCGGAACCAATTTGCTGGCGGCTCGATGATGATGACATTAATTTCCCCGACCGTAATAATATGTTATAATATTTCGTTTTATGCACCATATTTATGGCCCAAAGGCGACTGTCCGGCCAGCGTTATGAGCAAAACAGATTTTCCACTCTGCATAAATTAAGCAGAATTTAATGGTTGATGGTTGACTTGTTTAAATGGCCTCCTCCTCCTCCTGCCGACCGACACTGTTTGGTTAATGAAATCGAAAAGTTTAGATTCGCAATCTCTCTGGTGCATTGCTTTGATGACTTTTCATTAAATTACGCTTTCCGCATCCCATTTCCCTGACTTAGAGTGTGCCAGAGACTCGGCGCTAACAAAGTTATAGAAGCAGAATTTTCTATTTTCCATTTCCATTTTCCTCTGCCACTCTGTCTTTCGGGTTCAGTGCAGTTTCAGTGACAACAAGAACGTATAGCCACCCATCAAGGGAATCCTCCAGTTGGAACGAACCGAAAACCGAAAACCAAATGCCGAAAATTGCCCAAATTGCATTCCCTGACCTTGACTTGGCCAAAATGGCATTCACTTAGCGCCCAGGGAATGTTAATTACTTGGCCATAAAACGGCTAGCAATCTCGATCCGTGTCGCAATCAAACTATTTATGCAATGTGCGTGGGGCATCCACAAGAGGAATCCACAAGAATAATGTTGTTCTAACCGATTTGATTCGAACAACAATTGAGCCACATTCAATCGCAAAAGCAAACAGCTGGCGGCAAAATCATCGGCTTGTGGGTTGGAGATTGGGGATTGTTGCTTTCGAAAAGTAGTGATGAGCAAGGTACTCTGTTTTTGTATAGCTAGAATATAAAGCTGGTAGATAAATGATATTTTAGCCTTAAGAAATGTATAAGGAATAATATTTAACGTGAGAAATATTTACATTATAAGAAAGACTAAATTATTAGAATAGTACCTATATCTTTTAAATTGATTAGTTATATTTTAAGTTACTTATGATTGATTTGTTGTACCTAACTATGGCAAACAAACCAAAAAACAAGAGAGCAGTCTTTAACTGTTAAAAAGGCAACTCTGAACTCTTTTTGTGCCTTTGGCAAAACAACTGGTAGCAAAACATTTATTGTAATTCGAAATCAATCAATAGAGCCCATAAAAAATTGAATGGGAAGTCGAGGAGATGAGCCAAATGCCCGCATACCCGCATCTGTGAGCAAACAGTTTGCGCCATTCCCTCAACTGTTTAATACTTATTTAATCAAGTTAATGTAGTTAAATCAGCTTAAGCAAATATTCCCAGCAGCAGCCGCTGCCGAGCACAATGGCCACGAACCATGGCCCCGACCAAGTTAAACCGTTGATTCCGGCCTTGGCCGGGAGGAAGGCCTTCCATTCTCCCACACATAAACTAACACAGATAAAAGGGCATTCATTACAAAAGACCAAAGCGGCAAAGTTTTTCATCGACGACAGATTTGCGACATCAGCGCAAGGATCTCAGGGGTGCACTGGGAGAAAACTAATGAAGAATTCTGATATAGGGTATTTTACATATAATGTGGCTTACCAAGGATATGAATAGTGTGCTTTAATAAAAAAAATTCTATAAACTGGATGGTAGTATTGTACCGAAATTGTACACCATTAAAAAATACCAAACTATTATACCAACATATTATTTTATTTGAATAATGGTGAAGCAATATTTTTTAATTTTTAATATTTATTTAATTATTTTAAGTACGTGATAATTATATGATTTAAAAATTCTTTTGAACTTCGTTACAAGGCGTTTAGTATTTTACATCATTTCTGGTTGGTTCAATGGCTTCTTAGAATTTTACATCATTTGTGATTTACCAAAATTTAGGGCAAGAGAAATGTTTAATTTTATATATAAAATAGGTTTATCTTTTGTTTTGCAAATTCTAATGCCCATGTATACACCTAGAAACCACGTAGCTTTACATGTTAAATATTAAAAAAATTTGGTCTTACGAAAATGCGGCTTACATTTAGTATTTTCAATCATTTCTGATTCGTTCAATTGCTTTTTAGTATTTTATGCCATTTGTAACCTAGATTTCCCAAATTTTTTAAAATAAAATCCTTTGAGTATAACGTTGAGACTCTAACCACTAATATTCCTGATTCAGACATACCAAATTCCAGACAGGCTTTTTTCTGTGTGTAGAAAAGACAAAGCGAAGCTTAGAAAGGAGGTACCCGAGTGCAGGGACAGAATAGACCTGGGGACCACGGCCGATGGCCACCGAGTGACCACACAGCCTGGAGTCATTAATATTAAGTAATCGTGAAGGATGCTCTCGGGTGTATAATACGTCCCTCCCACCATCTCCTCTTCGCCTCCTTGAACCATCCCAGTTTTCCTTGGCTTTTCACCGCCCCCACAAACAACCTGTGCCCCGGAAGTTCGTGAACCCGCTCATTGACCATGAGTTAACCATGAGTGTTGACTGTGGTCGTAAATTCACCGCACACCCACACACAGGCAGTTATGAAGAGCCATGGGGACAAAGGGGCGTGGCTAGGCCTACTGCCGCCCCACTTTCAATGTCCCACAATGGACAGATTAGGAAGTGCCAAGAGCAAATGGACTTGGCCACCAGCAGCGGGAAAAGGAGCAGGAGGAGGAGCAGGAGTCGCCTTAGAACTGCACGATGGGGAAATGGTCCAAACGAAAGCCAAATGGGCTAAATCGGAATTTTGTGGTCAGCAAAGTGATTTCGTGAGTGGTAAATCCAAAAATACATTCAACAATTGATGAGGGGATTTTAATATTGGAAAGGCAATTAATTGAACGTGATTCAATTACTAGCTTTCATTTGTAAAGCGTTTAATAATGTAAATGAACCTTTGACATTTGTTAACAGCAGCTTTAAAACTTCAAAAGAAAAGTTAATTAAGTCCGGGCCGAGTCATTAAATTGATATCACCCAATTGATGCTTAATTGCTGCTCAAAAAAAGGAGCAACCAAATGACTTTAACTTTGCACCTTTGATAAGGTCCACTTTTGCTTGTGTTTTTTTTTCTGAAAGCCAGGTAATCCAAAAGTTTTCCATCTTTGAGCCTTACGACCCTTCTGGGAAATTTAGCCCAACCTGATGGGCTCTTTTTATAAGTGTGTATGCACGTTTTGGGGAAAGCCAAACAAAAAATGGGTTGAATTTATGGCCTTAAGATAATGTGTTGGCCGAAAAAGAGCTTCCGAGAAGGATCTAGACCATGTGGGGGAACCCAAATTCAAATTAAATCAGCTTGGACCTGACCAAAGTCGGGTTCACATTCCTTGAAGCTTTAATTGCACATTAAGCTTAATTAACAAATTCATGGAGGCGACGTGGTCTCCAATGGCCCAGGCCATCCGATGGCCCCCATGATGATGTGATGTCTGCCATTTCGAGGAGGTGGTGGTGGTTGCTAATGGAAATAGTTTTTACACATTTGATTAAAATGTTGCAACCCTAAGTTGTCCGCTCTTCCAAACGCCCTGCAATTGTGGCTGTGCAAATTGAGTTTGCGGCAGCTTTGTGTAAATTGTAGCCGGACACTTGGACACGCTTAGCAAATTAAAATGCCACAAAAGTGGCCAGGGTGCATGGAGGGGGGGCTTTAAGGCATCTTCATTAAAATTTTGCACCCAGCCGAGGGCGTCTTTTCAATGCCCCCCTCCTCTTTTAAATAAGATTAAGCAAAAAACAGCATAAATCCCGGGCTGCAGCTGCAATCCTGGCCAACAAAAGCCGCCTGCCCTTGGCCCCTGTGTGCAAATGCGAATGCGAATCCGAATGCGAGTGCGGACCGAGAACCAAAAAATCAAGGGGGCTGGCGGCCAACGGGGCGTATGAGCGTTAAATAAGTGTGTGCAAAGTATCTGCGGCCAAGCTGCGCTCATTAAGCGAATTCAGGCCAGGCTGAGGGGTAACTATTCCACTGGCTGCTGCTGGCACCTTTTTCTAATACTTTGCAACCTGGAGACGGCTTGTGGATGCACTTGAGCAAAATGCAGGCAACAAATCCGCACACAAATTGCACTCACAGCGGGGAGTTAAACATAAAAACGGGAGTGAGTCGCTGTCAAGCGACATTATTGATTTAAATGCCATAAACACCCAGAAGTAGAACACCGAAGCTCGGCAAGTGGCACATCCGAAAGATACTTTGAATGTTTTTCAAGATAGCAGGCAGGCGGAAGCCAAAAGCCAAGAAAAACAAACATGCTCCAAACCTGTAAAGGTGGATGGGTGTGTGTCGCAGTGTGTGTTGGCCCACATTAATGTGTGTTGGATGTGTAATATGCCGCCCACGTAGACAACTATTAACTAAAGGAGACACAGATACACTGAGACATCGAGACAGACGGACGCACTAAAGCATACATTTAGGCGCTGATGGCCGGATGTGTGAGGTTGGTTTGGTGTGGCATGGTGACATTTGGAGTTGGGAGCTGGTAGCTGAAACTGAAGGCCTGCGAAAAGAAATTTGTAACAGATGCGGGCCAGCTCACAATTGACTTCACAGCGCCCGCGAGTAATTGGACCAAGCAGCCGGCTGCTTCTGATATTTTCTGTATTTTATTTTTGGTTTTGCTTTGTCGCCGAAAAACGCGCGATCCGACCGCCCCTTTTACTGGGTCGTAATTGCGGGCCCAGATAAGCGCTTTATTACCGATTCACTGGCTTTTATCGCATTTTAATAACTCACGAAAAATGCGCCAAACGATGGAGGCGCGTTTGCCCAAAACAAAGTGCTTACGTTTCGTTACGTTATTACGGACGAACCGAACCGAACCGGAAATGACGTTAGCGGCAGAGGGCAATATCGCGTTAGCTCGCAACTTTCGCGACTGCCAGCCAAAGCACAACTGACTGATATCAAAGCTGGAGGAACTGAACTGAACGCTACGACATCTGCCGCTGGTTTGAATTCGAAAACGAAGTTCGTCGGCAAAAGCGGCAAAAGAAAAGCCGAAAGTCGGAAAAGTCCGAGGAGGAAAAGCCGAATGGAAATTCGGCCGAAGCACTGCAGCTGTGTGGGTGGGGGAAAGTGGGTTTTGGGTGGTTGGGTGGCTAGATGGCCTTGCTCACTTGCATTGCCAAATTGCCGAAGATGCCGCACGGAAGTGCGTGCGTTGCTGCAGTTCTACTGGCGCTTTATCCCAATGAAAGACTAAGGATTAAATTCGCATATGAGCACTAAGCATGCAGGCGTATGCCTGTCTCTTGCTGATTATTATGCTGATAGAATGGCTTAATAATGCCCAAACGCTAGGCGAATACATCATGTGTCCAGGCAATGTGGAATTTTCAATATAAATAAAATACAGCAGCAGTTGTTTGACAGAATTAGCAATTAGATACAGTGTTTCGGTAGTCATAATTAAGCGTAATTAGGCTTTAAACTCTTCTCAGTTGTGTGTTAGTATGCTTAGCAAATATTTGCAAATGGGAAATTCAAGAGAAATACAAAACAAACAATTCATTAATCCCTGATTTGTGTTATTTCGCCTTGACTTTTGTCTCATCTATATAAAATATTTAATGTAAACAAAATACATCGAAATATCAGTTCATTGAGAGAATTAGCAAATATAAACAATATTTCCGAACTCATAGTTAAGAGGTAATTAAGCTTAAAACTCTTCTTCGTTGTTTCATACTATGGAAATACTATGTATAGATATTTGGAAATGCTTAAATCCAAAGACATGCCAAAGCTACAATGTATTTATCCGCGATTTGTGTTATTTTCGCCATGACTTTTGGCATATCTCCCCCATATGCTGAAGGCATTCAAAATCCCACTGTATCTGGCCTCGGCTGTCATTCTGTTGCGCAAATTAGCCGCCACCCACTCCACCCTTCGGCGGGTTAAGCTGTCTTTTTTTCCTTTTTTTCCATTTTGTGTGGGCTGCTTAGCTAGTTTCAGCTTAGCCAGCTGCCTGTGTGCGTGTGCATCAAATCATTGCCGACTTTTGTGCGCAAATATTTACGACAACTGGCAGCTGCTCATCCCCTCTCAATGCACAGAGAACAAACTTGGCCACAAGCTGTCTTAATTAATCCTCATATTTACGAGAAACAAAATTGTCTGCTTTTATTCAATTACTGTGCATTTTGTCTCATCGTTTGGATGATTTAAAGGCGTGCCTTTTGTTTAAGCAGCTCACTATAGGCTGGCTGAACACTTTTTGTGGCCAAAATTAATAACTTCAAGCAAAACCAAATTTTTGAGTTCGGTTCTTATATTTGGGCTTATAATTAGCAAACTAACAGAAAAAGGCGTGGCAACGCCCCATTTAGGAAAAATTCTAGTTGTATCATAAAAAATAATATAAAAATATATAAGAAAATACTTACCCTAAAAACAAAACATAATTTAGAGGTGTATATTTTTGATTTGGATTTATATCGATGTAATGAACATATATATAGAAAAAAGGTGTGGCGCCGCCCATTTTTCACATGTTAAATCGAAAACAATTCTGAGTTGTCTAACCTGAGGTTGTGACCTAAAAAGGTAAATTGCGACGAAAGTGCGCAAAAGTGCACTTTAGAATAGCATTCATATGAACAAGAACTGAACTACCGACAACACAGTGTAAATATTAAGGTGAAACTAGGTGAAACTCACTTTATATCTCTATTTAAAGTTAGTTTTTATTGTAAATTTGTACACGTACAGCGACTATAAAAAACACTCAATTACAGGGACTACACAAACAAATCCAACTTGTGACGACCACAAACATAAAGTACAAACCGCTATCTTTCGATGCCATCATAACTTGTTTGGTAAAAACTTAGTTTGGTGCCTTATTTTTATAATTTTAAACCGACTCTTTTTTTCACAAAGTAGCTTTCGTGCGCCCGTGACACCGAACAGCTGTTTTAACAGCCGATATTTTAACAGATCGTGACTCTGTTAAAATTTCTGTTACGTAACATTGAAGTTTGAAGTTTTCCCAACACTTTGTCTTCATTAGATTTTAATATTAACGACTTTCGAAAAATGGATTTTTGGCCACAAAATGTGGTCAGCCAGCCTATAGTGCAGCTGTTTAAACGTGTCACATGCCCTGAAGTTTAGAACGAAAACGTCATTTGTTAGCTAAAAAATATAACTAGAGCAGTTCATCATTATAAATACGAAGCTAAACGTTTTTATTTTAAAATATTGTTGAACAAGTCTACTGCAATCAATGGTAATACTTATTTTTGTTAAAAAAATACCAGTTATACGTGTCGTATGAGTGATTTTTTCAAAAGCACCTGAGTTATGTGTATTATGATTTATTTATAGAATATATAACAGAGTGAATAGTAAAATAATAAATTATAACTACATTTTTGGGTCAGGTTGGTTAGGTAATATAAGTGATGACAGATCTAACTACTTGACCTAAAATTTTGTATTCTCATGCAGGGTTCTATTAATAATGTATAACAATTCGCTGTTATTCTTCTTCAAAATTTACTCAGTTGCTTTAAAAATATTTCAAAAATACTTAGGCACCATCGGTTGTTGGACCTAATTTTTCCCAGTGTGCTGTCCCATTCGCCCAGTAAGAGGACACCGAAAAGAAACAAAAGCATGCGTCTAACATCTAACGACGACAACAACCTGTCACGCCAGCTGAGGTACAGCCGGGGGTTTTGTTTGGGCCTGGGTACGGAAATGGGCACCGAAGGTATGGAGGCATGGCAATGGGACCCCTAACAAGGTACCCTGCAGAGAACGAGAGAATGAGTGCGACAACAATGCGTCTGGGGTCAGCAGAGGAGGAGCCGGTAACCTGTGGGGAATCATGGGAGAGAGATGGAGATGGAGATGGCGATGGAACAGGAGGTGCTCCACATGAGCTGACACTGGCAGGCGAACAGAGGCCCAGGGGTCCCTGGCCGTAATGGCCTCTAAACAAAAGGCGTGCTTGTTTTGGCAACGGCTCACCCCATCAGCCCAGCCACCCCCATCAGCCATTCACCCAATGCCATGTGTACATTTGCCTTTTTGCAAATTAATTTATAAACACAATTGACATTGAGCCCGAATGTAAATATGCCGCTGAGATTGGTTGTTGCCTTGCATTAAAAATTCAAGTCCCACCCTGTCACATCTGCATGCCCGCCACATGTGTGAGTGTGGAGTATCTGTGTGCGGGTGTGGAGTATCTGTGTGTGCGTGACTCTACCCTGTGTGCTGTTTGTCTTTCGCCATGGCCTGGCATTTATATTTCCCTCCAGGAAACAGCAACAAAAGTTGCGAAATGCCAAGCTGACGTTGCACTTAAGGAAATGGGCCAACACAAATATTGCTGAAATAGAGGACAGTCGGTGGGGGGCGCCGCCAAGGGAAATTCCAATATTAGTTATGACCTTCAAGTGGGGCCACTTTTCGAATAAATAATTCAATATATTGCTAATTGAGCAGAGGCACCCATCACTTTGCACGTTTTCAAGTCAATTTTCTTTATGAAGTTTGAAGTTCCGAAAGGTGGCATCAATTTGATGGCAAAGTAACCAATCCCTAAAGGGCACAACTCTTTGGAAAGAGTTTATACATGATCAAATATTAAAGTTTCGAAAAATGTGGAAAATGGCAGAACGAAAATATTGGTAAATAATTTTAAAGACATTTTTATTTTTAACCTTAAATCAAAACAAAACATTTTTAGTATTTCTTAACGTGTATGCTTTTGGTAAAGAAAAACTGAAAATTCGAAATTCCATTTGCCTGAACTTTCCTAAACGGTCATTAACTCTCCAACGTGTCTACTGGCCTTTAACTCCTTGGAAAATCAACTTTATAACGAAAATACAGTCATAGTCATTTGTATGGTTAAAAGTGTTAAGGGCAAAGACAAGCCAAACAACAAGTTGTCGTTGACTTACAAACTGATTTGCAATTTTATAAAGAGCCAGGCTTTCACACAAAGGCACCAAAAAGAAGGGTAAGGTATATATGAGTTGGGTGTACTTTGGTTCTATAGGTATGCACCGAAAAGCGAAAACACCAAAACAAAAGCTAAACAAAACTTTTGTTTGTCCTCTCATCGGGCAGAAAGGCAGAAAACTGCTGACTGACTTGGCTGAAATTTGTCGACCAGGCCTAAGCCACAGTGTCTCCCTTCATCTGGTGACCTTTTTTGGCTGGCAAAAATTGTAAAACTCATTTACATAACAATTACCGCTTGACACGGCGATGTTACCCATTCCCACTACCATCACCATTCCCTTACCACACTTTTTCTCCCGTTTGGGCCATGCAAAGCTCTGCATTGGGTAATACTTTAAAGTCTGGGCCCAACTATATATCTATTGTTTGTTCTTGTTGTGGCTCACATGTTGTCCCTTTCCGTTTGCCTTTCCGTCCCACTCCCCCGCTGGTGGCGCCACCTGCCGGCTCTGCGGGACTGACATTTTATTTAGATTGCTTTGCATTTTCAACTTTTCTCCGTTTTCCAACCGCCAACTGCGTGCAGTTTTGGTTACACAAAAAGAAAATATGATATTACAATATAAATACTTAATATTCCTTTATTGATATTGATTCAATAGATGTGGTACTAGTGTGATCTTATGTATAGATCGCTTGTTTACTATAAAGTGTTTTAGAAATGATATAACTAAACCCCAATAGATATTATTTTTACAAAAACTTATAGTTATCCCTGCTTTTTTTAATTTCAGTTATTTTTTCCGAGTATGCGACTAGACTTTCCCTGGCCATAAAAACTGGTTGGCTTTAAGTTCCCCCCACTCCACTTTCATTATGTGTCAGTTGCATTGTCTTGACTTTTTCGCATATATCTCCTCGGCTTTTCCCGACCCCAGTGGATTTTTACGTTCGTGATGCGGTTCCGCCTCGGTTATATGGTGGTTATGTGACACAGGGAGCCCTGCTGAACTCTA